GCCGGCTGGCCACAGCTGCGCCACCACGTGCCCCAGCGCGCGTGCAGCTGCACGAGCAGGTGCGGCCTTCCCCTGCCAGGAGGGCGGCCCTGAGGAAGTCTCGCGCGCGCCTCCACACTTCTCCCAGGACTTCTCCGGCGGGACACATGGGAGAGAATGGGCTGCAAAAGCCCCCCCCAGTCCTGGGCAGAAAGGAAACCGCAGGTAGTCCTTTGCATTCGACGATGCCTCAAGGTCTGGATCGAGTCGTTGCAGCGAGGCAGAGCTCGTTCGCTCGCCCGCCCTCGGTGCGGTTTGGGCACCCCGCTTCCCTTCTCTCTGCCCCCCCCCCATATAAGAGAGACAAGCCGGATGTCAATCGCACTGATCCAGTCGCTTGTTTTCCTCACAGCAGCATCCCACGCCCAGGCGTCTTCCTTTGCCACGCACTACCCACCTGGAGTCCAGCGCCCCCGCAGCCCACGGAAACACGTGGCCAGGCGTCTGGCCACGCGGGAGCCGCGGCTCCAAGGCGCTCCGAGAGACCCGCCCGCCCGCCTGCCCGCGAGAGGTCCTCACGCTCCTTCTCCTGAAGAAGGCTTGGTTCCGAGGGCCCTCCGACTAGCAGCCTCTCGCCTGTTCCTCCTTGGTCGCTACCTCCCCGTCGCCCTTTGGCGGCCAGCCAGCCAGCCAGCGTCCTCTTCAGAATCTCCCCGGGCAGAAGGAAGCAACGGGGAGGGGGGGTGGAGGGAGAGGGAGGGAGAGTCGAACTCCGCCGGGAGGGGGCTAAAAATGAGTCACGCCTGGGAGAAGCGGGGAAACTCCAGCTCCTCTGCTGGGGCCAGAGCAAGAGGCGAGGCGCATGCGCACCCCCAGCCTCTGCTCGCTCTCCGTCTCTTTCGCTCTCCACCCTCCTCCTCCTTTCCTTGCTTTCCCCTCTCCCTCCCCCCCTCCCTCCTTCCCTTGTCTCTCCCTCTCTCTCTTTCCCTGCCGGCTGGGTGCTGAAGTTGGGCGGATGGCAGCAAACCAGCTCCGCTAGGGACCCGCTCCACAAGCCGTTCCCCAGCATCGCTCAGTGCCAAGCACACACATCCAGGCGGGGGTGGGTAAGACAGCTCTCTCTCTCTCTTTCCCTCTCCCTCTCTCTCCCCCTCTCCCTCTCCCCTTGCTCTCGCTAGCGCGCTCCCTCGCTTTCCAACCTCAGCCTTGAACAAATCAATGGCACCAAAATGTCTGCTTGAGATATAGACGGATGAATGGAAGGCTATAGGTCGAGCGGTCTCCTCCGTAGTATCCTCCGTGTGGGAAAAGATGGGCGAGGGAGCGGAGGGTGAACCGCAGAGCCCCACGCTAGAGGGGAGGGACTGCCTGTCGCCTGCATGAGAGCAAAAGGGGGCGAGCGGTAGGGCTGGCGGGCGACTATCAAAGGTGCAAGGCACGGTGGGGTGGCGACTGGGGTGGCGTTT